CCGTGAGCAGAAGCTTTTGGCTCTCCGGGACGTGCTGAGGAAATTCCCGCGGGAGAATTACGAGGTTTTCAAATACGTCATCGCCCACCTCAACAGGTACCAAAAAATCGGCATTTCCTCCAAATTCGGGGGAAATTTGGGAAGATTTGGGCAATTTGGGGGGTTGGGGGATTTTAGGGGATTTTTTGGGATTTTTTTGGGATTTTTTTGGGATTTTTTCGGGGATTTTTTGGCGATTTTTGGGCATTTTTTGAGGATTTTCGGCGAATTTTTGGAGATTTTTTTGTGGTTTTTTTGTCATTTTTTTGTCATTTTTTTGTGATTTTTTAGGGGATTTTTTGTGATTTTTTTAGTGATTTTTGAGATTTTTTTGTGATTTTTTAAGTGATTTTTGTGATTTTTTGAGGAATTTTTTGGGATTTTTTTGGCGATTTTTTTGGCGATTTTAGGGCATTTTTTGAGGATTTTCAGTGAATTTTTGGAGATTTTTTAGTGAATTTTTTTGTCATTTTTTGTGAATTTTTTTGGATTTTTTGAGGAATTTTTTGGGATTTTTTGTGAATTTTTTGTGAATTTTTTGTGATTTTTTGTGATTTTTTGGGATTTTTTTGGGATTTTTTGGCGATTTTTGGGCATTTTTTGAGGATTTTTGGCAAATTTTTGGAGATTTTTTAGTGGATTTTTTGTGATTTTTTGGGGATTTTTTGGGGATTTTTTTGTGATTTTTTTAGACACTTTTGGGATTTTTTGAGGAATTTTTGGGGATTTTTTTTGGGATTTTTTGGGGGATTTTTTTGGACATTTTTTAAGGATTTTCAGCGAATTTTTGGAGATTTTTTAGTGGTTTTTTTTGTCATTTTTTGTGATTTTTTTTTTTTTGAGGAATTTTTTGGGATTTTTTTGTGATTTTTTTTGTGAATTTTTTGTGATTTTTTTGTGATTTTTTTGTGATTTTTTTGTGATTTTTCTTTTATTTTTTGGGAATTTTTTTTTTATTTTTTGGTGATTTTTTTAGTGATTTTTGTGATTTTTTGAGGAATTTTTGGTGATTTTTTGGTGATTTTTGGGCATTTTTTGAGGATTTTCGGCGAATTTTTGGAGATTTTTTAGTGAATTTTTTGACTTTTTTGGGGATTTTTTGGGGGATTTTTTGAGGATTTTTTGGGATTTTTTTGGGATTTTTTTGACGAATTTTTGAGAATTTTTTGTGGATTTTTTTGGTGTTTTTTGGCAATTTTTGGGCATTTTTGGAGGACTTTTGGTGAATTTTTGGAGTTTTTTTACTGATTTTTTAAGTGATTTTTTTTGATGATTTTTGGGATTTTTTTTCTGATTTTTTTCTGATTTTGGGGATTTTTGAGGGATTTTTTTGAGGAATTTTTTGGGATTTTTTGGGTGATTTTTTTGGGATTTTTGGGGTTTTTTTTGGATTTTTTTGGTGATTTTT